AAATGGCACCTTCTGACCTTCATTAAATGAGTTCCCTGCATCAACTCATTTCAGAAACTCCTGTCCAGTGCCTAAGGATACACTGACACTTGCAAATTGAACAATTAAGTCCGAGAGAAAGATACAGCTTGGCTTCATCATCTATATAATTTGGTCAAAAGAGAGCTCACCTACCGCAATTTCCCTCTCATAAAGATTAAACACACACCTAGCCTGATGGCTTCCAGCTATTCAGGCAGGTCTAGGCCACGGAGACAACACCGAATGCAACAATAATGAACTAATTTGATTCAACCTGTTGCCTCTGTGTAACGCCTGCCAAGCCTGGGTGAAACAGGTTGTGGTAGACTTCATGATAAGGGAGTGAAAACACCTGATCTGTAAGGTCCCTTTCACCTTTGACATTCAGAGAAGCGACTGCTCCCTCCCTGGTGGCTCAAGAGCTAAATCTAAGGCAAGGGATCAAAGGAATGAAAACTGTTAGTCTGCACAGAACTTGGATTCCTCTTTTGGCACCTGTCCAAAATATGGATTTAAATGACCTATCGACATGGTAAGAACCTACTGGGATGGCTCTAGTGATTAATTAAAAGACACAAATGAATCCGCAGTTGACCTGACTGGTTTTATGAAGTCCTCCAACAGCCTCACTTCCTCTCAGGGTGACAAAGAATCTGGCTCCTTTGAGATGTTCATTTCTGCCAGGCGTGGGTACCCAAATGCACATTGCTTCAAATCAAACCTTGGATTGAACTTGTTCAATGCCATATTTAGCATAACTTAAGAGTTATGTCAACTGTTTTTACAGTTATCTAACGTTTTAAGTATTTTTACATCCATCTTAAAGCTTCAAAGAAAGAGGAGTAATTGTGGAACCAGAGCTGGTCCCTCTAAAACACAAAGACCAAAGCCAAGTACCAGAAGTAACCTGTATCACTGGAGAAACGCATGTTCATGAGTAACTTCACTAACTAGATGTACTGAGTAACCCCCTCAACTTCAGGAATACTCTGCAAAACCATCACCACGCTCCATCTAACACGTGCAGCTATCTCCTTAAACAACTGAATCCGACCTCTGAATACATAAAAGACTTAAAAATCTGCTTTTGTAAAGATAAATACATAACAGATAACTTGCCTTTTACATTGTTTTTTTTTCTTCAATTGTAATAGTCACTGTAATTATCCAGTTCAAAAATAAAAAAAATCTACTCTACCAGGCACCAGAGAGTTGCTTAACAAAACCACTTAATGAAACCATAGTTCGGAAGCACGAGGGGGAAAAAAGCCCTTTAACTGCACAGAAAATATTTATGAGTTTACTTTCCTAATGCATACAATCGCGTCCTTGTTTCCAAAGCCCCGCGGTTCACATCAGTGGGAACAAAACAATCTTACAGACAACAGCAAGCGAGCTTCCCAGAAGGCCCTTTGAGAAGGAAAGAAAAAAGATCATGAAAGAACCAAAATCTTTCTCTAAAAGCCTCTTCTCTTTTTCAGGAAAAGAAACACACTGATCACCAGCACACTGTGCAAAGGGTTAGCCCGAAATGTATCTATCAATCGCGCTTATAAATGTACCTATCAATCGCGCCTATAAATGTATCTATCAATCGCGCCTATAAATGTATCTATCAATCGCGCCTATCCATGCCACCGGTTAGCACAGAAAGCTCAGGGCAGGCACCCCTTCGGGGCGCACAACATCTGGCCGAACTCCGCGACTCCATTGCGAAGATGCCACCTCTTGGCGACCGGCCTCTCTCTCTCCATCTCCCCTCCGCCGTGAGAGCCTGTGCACAAACTGGAGGGACGGAGCCAGCAGAGATCGATCGCTGAAGCCCCCCGCGGGCCCGAGGGTTACCGGGGAGGCGCGGGGAGCGCGCCGGAGGCTCCCCGGCTCCGGGGAGCAGCCGAGGCCCCCGCGCCCGGCCGCCCGGAGCCCGGAGCCCCGCGCCGCGGCGGCGGCGCTGACTCCCAGCAGTGGCTCCGGGCCGGGGCCGGCTCTCCGCGGCGCCCGGATCGCCCATTCCCATTCCGTTCCAGCCGCCGATCGGCGTCCCCCCGCGCCCGCCGCGCCCCGCCCCTCCAGGGCCGGCTCTGAACTTTGCGGCGGGCGGGCAGGCGCCACCGGCCAGTCGGGCCCTTTCTTTCATCCCCTTTCCGGGGCTCGCGGGTTGGGAGCGGGGTCCGCAGCCGGGCGATCGGGGGCTGGCACCCCCCCGATCCCCCCGCGGGCCACCCCGCGCGGCAGGCGGCACGCCGCCCACCCCACCGGCACCCACCGCCCGCCGCCCTGGGCTCCCACTTCGCTCCGATCAAACTTACAGCAAAGTTGGCTCCAGTGGCGGCGCCGGCGGCGGCGGCGGCGGCGCTTTCGGGAGGGAGAAGGGGCTGCACCTCCTGTCCTCAGCGCGCCCCGGAGCAGCGGGGGTCCGGGCGGCCGGGGGGCTCCGGGGGCGCGCAGGTCCGCATGGCTGGCCGGCCAGGTGGCCCCGATCGCCGCTCGCACCCGCCCCGGCGCCGCGCTCCCTCCCCGCCCGCCCGGCGGCGCAGATCCCTCCGCCCGCGGCCACGCCCGCCCGCGCCGGCGCTCGTTTCCGCGGCTGGAAACTCGCCGAGACTTTCCCGGCCGCGGCGGCGGCGGCACGCAGCCCGCGGGTCCCGGGTCCGAGCGCCCCGGCGGCCGGCACTGGGCGGCGGGAGCGAGCACCGGGGGCGACCTGGCGGCGGTCCCAGGGGCAGGGAGGGGCTGGCTCTGGGGCCGAGGTGGGTAAGGCCAGCACCGATTTGCACGGAGAATGAATCCGGAATGAATGCTTCTTGCTAGGAAAGGGCAAGTTTAAAAAAAAAAAAAGTCAGCTCAGGCCAATGGAAAAGCTTCCCACGCCTCCTGGTAGCGCCTCCAGAAGCTTCGGGGAATGGCTCCATCTGCATCTGAATGCCTGGGTTCCGGGTCTGCCGTGGCTTAGGGGGAGGGGGTACCACATCCTCAGAGAGGTCTGGAAGGAATGCGGTTGGGTCGGAATGACTTCCTCCTCCGATCGACAGCGAGAGAGGGTCCGGGGACTGGAAAGCGCTCCCTCCGCGACCTCTGCGCGGAGCTAGCGAGACCCCGAAGCTTCCCCAGCCCAGGTGAGGCGCCCCCAGAACCCGCCGTCCCGGACCGACACCCCCGACTCCCTCCCCGGCCGGCGGGACAAAAGGCGGTCCTGCCGCCTCGTGCGCCTTCCAGCCGGCAAGCCGCACCCCGAAAGCCCATTCTTACTAGAAACTACACGTTCCCTGGGGAGAGAGGGGAGCCCGGACCCCCCTGCCCCCGGACACCCCCCCTGCGCCACGCCGGGGCGCAGCCCGGCCGCCGGCCCTCCGCGCCCGCACAGCGCCAGGCGCGGGCCCCGCGCAGGAGCCGGAGGCGCCGCCGGAGCCGGAGCCGGCGCTGCTCCGGGCGCTGGGACCCCGCCCCGCGGAGAGGAGAGGCCGGGCGTGACCTCAGAAAGTTTCTGGGGCGCGAAGAACATGTTAACTCTCTGAGCACAACGATCTGACTTCCCCGGAACCCGTGGCGGGGACTGCGGGGCGCACGCGAGGCTGACGGGGGCGAGGGGGTCTAGATTCCCAGAGAGGATCCCCATCCCCTCCGTTCCCACGTTCACGCAGCCCGCCTTTAACCCATCCGGAGGGGATGGGGCGGGGGGGGCTGGCAGAGGCTGGCCGGGAAGGAAAACGCCTGCAGAGTGCGGTGCCCATGGGAACGTGGCAGTAAGGCGACAGCAGAGTGTGCCCTGCGCCTGGTGCAGCGCGCACACAGGATCGCACCCGGCATCCCATCACCCAGACCCCGGGCCGCGGCCGCGATGGAAGCGCCAAGGGCTCGGTTCCAGGCACGGAACACCTCGACAGTGGGTGACCGGATCCCCAAGCTCAACCGGTTTGCGCCCTTCGCCCGGTTCGAGCTCAGCCAAACACAATCACCCCAGATACACCAACCGCTGGGGTGGGGGTGGAGTAAAAAAAAGTCAAAAGACACCATCCTGCAACATAAAATTACAGGGTTGTTTTTAAAAAAAAAAACAAAAAAACGGCACACAAGAATTCCTGGAGAAAATGACCGTTCGTGAATCCATGAAAGGGTCACTCAGGCTAACACAGCTGCTCGGGAGCCCCCACGTTCCGGCCTCTGCGAAACCGGACTGCCCGGAAGAAGTTACCCTGGGGTCGCCCCGAAACGCAGAGATGAAGACTTCAGATGCCGGCGCTGCCACGGTCCCCCCGATCCTTCCGCCCCGATGAATGAAACGGGGGTGCCTTTTTTTGCAAACCATCGGATTACCTTCGCCCGAAAGAGAGATGTAGTGCAGACTCCACGTTTGTCCTTCCCACGGTCGCTCCTCCCTAAATCCCTGACCCCAAAGGCTCTCGTGGATCAGGGGGTTGGGGGAGGACGCCCGAAAAACACAAAAACGCTTTCCCCCAACCAGCACCGCCTCCGAATCCGGTCCACCAGACCCAGGGTTTGTACACTGCGGACCGAAAGGGCCGGGCGGCGGGCGATGGAGGCCGGGGCGGCGGGCGCGGGGCTCACCCCGGTCCCAGGAGCGGGGCCCAGTTCGCGGCCCGGAGCCGGCGGCCGGCGGGGAGCGCGGTGCCCGGCGCCCGGCCTAGGGGGCGCTGCGCCCCTGCGAATGGCGCGGCCCGGAGGCGCCCTCCCGGGCACTGTGTCCATAAGAAGTTACATTTCCAAATAACGCACAGACAGCGCAGCTTTTCAAGTTTCCTTGAACAGCCTGGGTGTGTGTTTAACGAATTCCCAAGCCGATGCGCACCGGCCTTTCCCATCCGCGAGCCGCGGGGCGCGCAGCCGGCCGCGCGGAGAGCCCGCAGGGTGCACACGCTTCCCGCACTCGCCGACAGCCAGATACCCCCACGCAAATTTAATTTAATTTAATTTAATTTGAAACTTAAACACCGAAGGCTTGCATGCATCAAAGAACTCACCGGTCCAGCCGGGTCCTCGGGGGCTCCGCTTGCAAGTCCTGGGCCGCTCGGTAATCCCCACGAGATGTGGATTTTTGGTTAGAAGCCCTGGGGTCCGAGGTGCCCACGTCGCCTCTTCCCTCCGATCTTCAGCATGTCCCCAGCCAGAGGGCCACCCACCCGCGCCTCCCGGACCCCGGCGGCCGCATCTCCTCCTCCGGAGGCGTCCGTCCGGGGGAAAAACTTGGGGACCAGAGCGCGGCGGGCTGCGACGCACAGGGGTCGGCTGGAGAGGCGGCCGCGACGAAGCCAAGTTTGTCCGGACTTGTCCGGGCGGCGAGCCGCCGACTTTGAGAGTTGCGGCGGGAGCGGCGGCGGATCCCGGCTCTCCCCGCGCCCGCCCCCTCGGAGGCGCGGGGGGCGGGGGGTGACGTCAGAGCCCCGCCCGGCCCGGCCCGGGGGCTGCGGGGAGGGATTCGCGGGCGGAGCCCGCCTCCGGGACCCGGGCGGCGGCGGCGGCGAGCGGGGAGGCTGTGCGGAGGCTGCTCACCTGCCGCCGCCGCCGTGCCTCCCGGGCAGCCTGGGCCCCCCTCTCCCTCCGGCCGCTGGCGATCCCCGCACCCAGCACGGGCGATCCCAGGGCCCCCGCTGCGCGCCCCTCTCCGGGTCTCTGTCCCTCCAGCCCCCTCCGCCGCGGTTCCCACACCGGGAGCTGCAGGTGATGCGCTGCCCCCTCTGCAGCGGGAGCCCGCCGCCGCCGCCCGCCGCCCGCCTGCCCGCCCGGGGTTCGCAGGGAGGACGCGCCCGCAGCCTCTGCAGCCCGGCCTTGGACTTTGCAGCCTCCAACTTCGGGAGGGGATCGGTCCTTGGAAACAGCTCCTGAGCCCTGGCGCAGCCGGGGGTCTCGGCGTGGAGAATCACGGAGCCATGTTTTAATGTGCAAATCCTCTCCCAAAGAGCCTGGGTTTGCAGACCGGACTCGGGAGCTGAGACGGCGCCGAGAGGTGGGGGGAGAGCGGAGGAGGAGCCAGTTTCTGAGCGTGACACGGGCCAATGCACTGATCAGTTGTCTGCTCTTCTTAGCATAGTAAGCAATACATGCAAGCAGTGTTGATGTTTAATGTATAAATGAATGCGTCGTTTTACGTAATGGTCCAGACCCCAGGGGGAAAAAAATCTGTTGCGGATTTTTTTTTTTTTTTTAATGTCGCTAAAATGCCAAAATAAAATCTCTCCTGAACAGCGGAAATCTCCAGGGAGCCATTTCTGTGAGTTGGTTGACACTATCCCCAGAAAGTTGGCATTGAAATCCCAAGATTGCTGGGGGTGGCTGGGTTGGGGGGAGTACTGCAAGCGGCTGCCCACGTTGCTGTTGGCAGCCGTGGATGTAAATCTAGCGGTCATTTTAGCGGGTCCCTGTCTTTGAAAGGCACAGCGCAAACCCCGGAGGGCACAGGAAGCGAGACAAGAAATTGAACAGCGAAGCGAATAAAAGATTAAGTGTTGGAGTGCTGTATGTGCTTAGCCTTACGGAAGTCATATAACTTATCTAAGGGTCAGTTTCCTCATCCGTGGTAAGGGAATAATGCCTGTTCCACAAGGTAAGGATGTATAATACTCGTGTTTGCCCATTCAAAAAATTTATAATGCATGCCACTTGCTTGCCTGGGGCATAGCATGCATTCATGCAGGCAGTCCTCTCGCTGAGCATCGTCTGACGTGTCTAGCAAGCACATGGGTAAGATTAGTTGTCTTACCCACTCTTTTCTCGCCTATAAATTAGGAAGAGTTCAAGGGAGGTTATCACACATCATTCAAGGTACATTTTTATTTGGAAGGGCGGGGGGAGCAAGGAGAGGCTAGGAGAATGGAGAGCTCTGGGGAAGAAACTTAGAGGCCCCCACAGAGCCAGGGGGCTGCCCCGAGGTACCAGGTTGTAGAAGAAGGAAGAGGCCATCAAAAGAAAGACTGGCTGGAAAGGCCAGTGTGTCCGAGCAGAGGACAGACTCCTCATGCTTCCCTCTTTCAAGCACATGCTCACCCTTTTATGTCAGTAGTTGAGATTAGAAGCTGACCATGTATTACAAGTTCTGTAAATGATACACATAAATCCCCCCAGACACTGCTCTGCAAGGCAGTTGGGTTTGCTATCCTAGTCTTTGGAGTTATCATAGATAAATCTAATTATTCCTATTAAAAAAAGAAAAAGAAAAGTGCACGTGAGAGGAACATTATAAATAATAGTTGATGGAATTAATCAACATAGTTACTTCCAGAAACAAAATGAGAGGGGCAGAAAATATTTAATAAAACCTATAGACCTGCCAGATCCAATGCCATAGGTAGCTACTAACCACAAAGGGCTATTATTAAATTTAACGACAGTTCTTTAGTCTGACTAGCTACCTGTCAAGTACTCAATATAAACCTGTGGGTAGTGTCTTCCGTGTTGTTCAGGGCCGGTGAGAAAACATTTTTGTTATGAGCAACATAACTTTCCTAGGTCTGTGTTCTGACCAGGAATAGTTCATGTCACTTTTGGTACATAGGAGGAAGTTCCCAACCAACTGAGCCACCTGGCCTGGGCAAGCTATGTTAATCATGTTAATATCTCTTAATCATCAAATATACTCAACTCATTAAATTTTGAGCCCTTCTAATTTCACTTGGTATATTGTTGGTACTTGATAAATATTTGTGGAATGCGTGAATCCTTCTGTGTTTTTTTTTTTTTTTTTTTTTACTTTGGAAGTGGCTCAGTATTGAACGCATCAAGATATCAAGGTTATGATACTTGATGCAGCCTTGGAAAACCATAGCAAAGTCTTGCACACTGTAACTTCATAATCATCTGTTAGGTGACTGACTCCCAGCATGCTATGCTCTCCATTCCTTGACACTGCTTTCTCCTTGGCTTGCATCCCTTACTGCCTACACTTCCTGAAGCTGACATACTAATCATCATTCCTTTCCACTTCCCTAGTTTTTGGATTATTTTACCCTTTGCATTGAAGCACAGCTCTCCTCTGGGATCTTGAAGGAAGGCCGTTAGAGCAGACAATTAGTCAACTGGTAAAAGTAGGTTAATGTGGGTGTGAATATGTTAACATTCCTGACCCCTTCCATGTTCACCAGAACAAGGATTTTCTAAAGCTACCCTAAAGATGAAATGTAACCCTTAATGGTGGAATTCCAGATGCCATAGCCAGTTGGGAAAATATTTGGAGGCATTGCAAATCACCTAGTGTTAACAACAACAAAGGGAAAGTATACCTTTACTTTAGGGATAAATACATAGTGAAACAGGCTGGTTGCAGGTTTTCTGTCCCTACAAATTCCCTAGTGGTTAGGGAACAGATCTTGCTGGAGAAATATAATTTCTGTGATGCTTTTCCAGCTCAGTGATTGAAGGACTCTAAGTCTACCTTTTTGAACAGTAAGCAGTGAATCATGCAGAAATGTAAACATATTTTCTCAACAGAGGTTGTAGAAAGAACAGTACACTTGAAGTCAGTAAATCTGGTTTGAGTTTCATCTTCACCACATAAAATTTAATGGATTTGGTTATTACAGAAATTGAGAAGCAGTACTTTCCTCTATAGAAGTGCATCTCTAAAATGGTCTTTAAAAAATCTGACTCTTACCCTGCCAGTGTGGCTCAATGGTTGAGTGTTGACCTACGAACCAGAAGGTCATGGTTCAATCCCCAGTGTGGGGTGTGCAGGAGGCAGCCAATCAATGATTCTTCTCATCATTGATGTTTCCATCTCTCTCTCCCTCTTTCTTCCCCTTGTAATCAATCCTGTCTAATAAAAGAATAGTATGCAATTTGACCGTCACTCCAATACACAAGATGGCTGCCCCCATGTGGACACAAGATGGCCACCACAAGATGTCCAGCAGGGGAGAGCAGTTGGGAGGGATCAGGTCTGCAAGGGAGGGCAATTGTGGTCAATCAGGCCAGCAGGGGAGGGCAGTTGGGAGGAACCAGGCCTGCAATGGAGGGAAGTTGGGGACAATCAAGCCTGCAGAGGAGAGCAGTTGGGGTGGGGGGGAAATGATTAGGGGGTGATCAGGCTGGCAGGCATAAGTGGTTAGGGGCAATCAGGAAGGCAGGTAGGCAAGCAGTTGGGAGCCAGCAGTCCCAAATTGGAGAGGGTGAAGACTGGGCTGAAGGACACACACACACACACACCCTTGCATGAATTTTGTGCACTGGGCCTCTAGTATATATATATATAATACATATTTAATCTTCCTCTCTAATTGTGAGATACCAGTAAAAAAAAAAAAAGGAATATAACCACGGTAATGCCATTATTCTACTCAGATGTACCCACTGTTTCTCACTCTACCACTCCCAACTCAGTTATGAGGCTTTGTAGAACCAAGAGCAATAAGTAACATCGATGTGATGCCAATTATCCTCCACACTCGGTTCCAACTTCTTTATATGCAAATCTCATGTAATTTTTATAAAATACTGTAAGATGGCAGCGATGAATAGCCAGCCACCATGTTACAGATGAGGAACTGAGGTTTAGGAGATTAGACAAGTCACACTGAATCGCCTTTTGGACTGACCCCAAGGCTAGCTGTGTCCACAGCCAGCACTCTTGTTATATGCTAGCTCCTAATACTCCCTCTATGAACCAAGGCTGCTATTGCAGCAATGTTGTGGTTTAAGAAGCAACCTAAGAGGAGAACAGAAAACTACCCAGTGATGGCTAAGAAAGATTCTATTTTTCCAGCAGCTACCCTGAGTATGGATTTTAAAAAATCATTTAAAGGCAGGTCCTTTAATCACAGAGTGAAAGCATCACTGATTGTGTCTAGAAATATATATGTAATACTGTACATCCATCATTTGTGGGGCTTACATATTTTCCTAGGTAGATATACACGCTCTTAAACACATTTCTTTTCAATTCAAAATCGCTGCCTGGCTTTTAACTTGTTTAGTCTGAACAGCAGAAAAATACACACCAATGATTCTCAATGAATTCTGACAGGGACTATCTCCCAGGATTTCATGATCAGCATTTAAATTTATACTTTGTTTTTCCCTTTGCTGGTCTGGACAGACTTATGTTCATTGATCTCACCAATTCTCCTTTCTTCCTTTCATTTATTCT